ATACCAGTAGCATTTGAACTTGGCATCGTGGTTGGCAGCGATGCCAAGTTGGAAGCGCTGCCAGACGGATGTCAGGTACGATATACTATGACTACTAAATTAATGCATTGAGTTTGGCCGAGATGCTGGCAGCTGCGCCATTGCCTCCCGTTGGCATCCTAGTGCGATACCGCCCTAAGGGTCTATTACATGGTGGCGGACTTATGTAAGACATAATTTTGTACCGCAGTACGAGACTGCTGTTGGATCCACACTGCAGGCCTACATATCAATCAATATGTGACACTGTTATAAGCGAAAGAGAACCAGTGCGAAGAAAAAATTCGCGAATATTTGGCTTCTTGACAGTTTATGGACGTAGACCCAACGCGCGTGGATGTCAATGCAGTAACAACTAAATCCGAGGACCCCTCCCTCCCGCGACCGAAGTCTGTGAAAATGTCATGGCATATTTCTGCTCAGGGATTTTTTTTATGGACACAACTGACGCACTTGGACACAGCGTTCGCCTGGCCGAGCACTTGCGGTGTGCCAAGTCGAACAACAAGATAGGAGGTGTCTTTCAGAACTGTTTACAATATTTCGGTTTAAAATAACAGTGCCCAGTCTCATCGTGGTATTTACACAAGATTTTTATACACTCGTAAATATACACCTAGAAACCTAGCAAAGGAATGACTAATCGATAATAGATTATTTTGAGGCTTTCTTTCAACCGCTAAGGTTACGTTGTAACGGACAGGTGATGTCTGACGTTTTCGCGACGGTAGATGCATCAGCCCTGACCGAAGATGGAGATTGTGTTTCTCCGTAAAGCTGGTACCTACCTACAACGTAGAAGATCAACATCGACGAGTGTGATTGCCTATCACTGGTTAATTGGGATAACTGTCTGCTGCCTGTTACAAGATCCAAGATATGAAGGAAAATAAAAACTAACAAACTCCAGTCAAGACAGCTACTTCCTAGTCGGGGTGCAACAGAGATTAATTAAAGCATGCTACACTGTCGTATAATACGGAACTCAGTTCCTTCAGAACGAGTTGTGTTCGCGCATCCACAACGGACAGGAAGTGTTCTTAAATAAAAGAACGTCACTGAGTGTTGTTAATGTGAAATAGACCACGAACTGCGAACAAAGCGAAGACAGCTATACTCTTGTAATTGTTGGCTGGAAACTGTCGTCGAAGTTTACCAGCGTTTCAGGGCTCTGAAACGTCGGTAAACTTCTACCAGACTACACTGCACAACAACCCAGAAGATAGTCGTCGTGTGTGGGTCACTGGGGGAACGATTAGCAGCGAGCCTTGGACTATACAGTTTTATGGGTTTCCTAAATCTTCCCTGTTGGGACACGCGGCAGGGCTTAGTCCCAAACCTGACGGATAAATGTGGACAAGCACGCAGCCCGTGTTCCAGGGCTAACCACGAGGAATAACCAGCCATGACGCACAGGCACGCGACGAACTGATCAATAGAACGTTTACCTACTACACACACTCCGGAGTTACGTGAAATGCCGCGAGACCCTGTCCTTGTTACTTTCATTTTCATGAGGTCATCCCCCAGGTAGCAATGCGGCATCGTATCTGACCCACATTCGAGAAGAGTCCGGTTCGAATTCATACCGGAGCACTGGGAATGACGGAAGGTTTGCGTGATTTTACTCAATCCCTTCAGGTGAAAGTTGGGGTAGTAGCTACAGACAAGCCACGCCGGATTTCTACCCTATAAATTCTAGTTCACAATAAACATTATAATTTAATCTCATTCAACTCGGGGGAAAAACTGTTAATTTGTACACTTGTCAAATAAAAACTTTCTCTTCACCTTCCACTTTGTGTAATGCCCGTGTTCTTAAAACATCAAGGGCCTTCACTACAAAACGGAAACATTGCAGTGGCACAAGACTCAAGAATGGAATTACGATGC